AATTCATTTCGACCTCTAATGCAAAATATTTATAGATTGAGTTACCATTTAAATTACACATCATAGTCCCTTTTTTTTTTTTTTAATTTTACCGCTTGAGCATTATTGTTAATTTCTATAGTTTTCCATATTGGTATAAAAACACCTAGAGATTCAAGCCTTCGTGTTACCTAACCTGCTAGGGGAGATTTGGTCATGCTAAATAAAATTTGACAGATTTTACAAATATTTGTTCTGAAAAAGAAAGCCGTGGAGAGCCCTCTTTACATGAGCATTGAGCAAACACTTCAAAAAACTTCTGCTCAATTAAGAAAAAGTAGAAAATTTGAGGAACTAAAAATTTATTTGGCAATTTTACTCAATAAAAGATTGATTCCCTATCTCCTGATATGGCATAGTGGGGGACTAATATGCTATGTTATCACCAAATAACAAAACACTTCACTTGGCCTGAGTTAACAGCCTAGCTAAATGTTGAAAATGATGTTGCTTTGATACCAGTTTGTTGAAAAAAAAAATGAGATTATAGACATAATATCAAGTAATTGCTCACAAGAATACAAGAACAAAATAATTTACAGTGTAAAGAAGACTTTACTAAAATATGGAGAAAGATTACAATGGTTTTGTATTTTTAATTTATCTAAATTAATTTAAAATATAATGAAAAGCTAAATATATATAGTGGACATTTTATGCCCCAAAAGTAGAGTTATAGGTGAAATATAATGTCAAAATATCGTCAAAAATGCGAAACCTAACCGACCAGGTAAGCTTGTCTCTCGAGCGCCAAGCGAGCAGCCATCTCACGATGATGTCGCTCGAGCGGTAGGCGAGCGCCAAACGGGCGACACTGGGGTGCTATGTCTTGGGTTATATTTGATCTCCTTGATTCTTTTATTTCCCAAAAGCTTCCTTGTCAATATCTTGACCTGTTCAAATTCAACACAAATTCCAAACTCCTAATTGGGTTTTGGTAGAGATGTAGATAGAAATAGAGATGGTGGAGTGAAGGCTAAGCAAAAGGAGAGGGAAAGGTCAATTTCAATTTCAAAGTAAAGTGAAAAAGGGAAGAGAATAAATAAATAAAGGGATTGAATATTATAAACTTTTGTGAAAAACAAGTCTATCCTTCCTTGCCCATAAACTGGGGAAAAAGTGAAAGTGGAAGGAAGAAAACAAATACAAGATGTGAAGCTTATAATTACTCCTCATTGGAATTGGGTTTTTCACTAAAATGAGAGAAAATTAGAGCTAGAAATATGGTGTAAACATATGATAAGAATCCTTTAGCATAGGTAATTGTTTAGTTCTACAAGCTCCTGTTTGGTGAAAATTAAAATCAAATTTTTAGTAAATTTTGAAAAAAGTTGATGAAATATCTCGTTAGAAAGTTGTGGGTCTCATAAAATATATGGTTAAAATTAATTGTTAACTTTACCTAGGATTAAAATCTTGATTACCAAACAATGGCTAACTTTCCTCTTTCTCTTTGTACATTATTTTTATATTGATAAACTGATGAAGTACATGTTGGAAAATTCGAAATTAGTTGTGACCAATTTAAGTGATTGTTTAAGTGGAATTTTTTGTTTGGTGAATGAGAAATTAAGCCAAACTTAAAATGTTTGAAATTGTTTGAAATTGTTGGAAATTATATAGAATATTGTGAAATATTCTAGAGAATAAGTAGATGAAAAGATGAGTCTTTTCATATGGATCATGACTCTTGACATTATTTTTCAATAATGGTCTCTTTATGTAGAGATGTAATTGTGCCTCTTTATGGAGAGATTTAAATTCCAAGAGATGTGTCTCTTGGTATGGATGTTCCAACTACTATATATATAGATCCCCATGTGTTTGAATTTTAAGGAAAAACAACAAACAATTCAATTGATAGTTTCATATCATTCCATTCCATGTTTACAATTTAGTTTTGCATAAACCACTTTATAGAAGTGATTATTTCTTGCATCAAAATCATGGTTATGGTAGAGAGGGAACTCCATTCGAGTTCGTTGGTTTAAACCATTTGGAGTGCTCCTATTGCTTGACGTGGTCGTTGTATCTTGGGAGATGATTGTCGGAAAACCGTTAACACCGATGCGGGGTAAATTCATCTTAAGGACAAAGTGTCAAACACTTGTCTTTACCGATCGCATCACTTGCATCTCATCTTTCTTTTCCAATTTCATTCTAATTTAGTATTTTGATTTCGGAAAGTAACTAATATTCTTTTGATTTCATGCAAGTTTTGAATTAAAAAATGACATGCGTTCAAGATTGGAAAGTGATAAAAATGACATTCATATATTGGAAGTCGATAATCACCATTTTGTCTTCTCAAATTAGATTTCGATAAATCGAATGATATTTCGATTTCAAGGTATTTTCTTGATTAATATAATATGCACATTATCAGTGTAATATCTTCTACAGGACAAAGCCAAACTCCTGGTTCAATTATCGGATAGAAACTTCTATGCCAACAAAAGATTGATTCCCTATCTCCTGATATGGCAAAGTGGGGGACTAATATGCTATGTTATCACCAAATAACAAAACTCTTCACTTGGCCTGAGTTAACAGCCTAGCTAAATGTTGAAAATGATGTTGCTTTGATACCAGTTTGTTGAAAAAAAAAATGAGATTATAGACATAATATCAAGTAATTGCTCACAAGAATACAAGAACAAAATAATTTACAGTGTAAAGAAGACTTTACTAAAATATGGAGAAAGATTACAATGGTTTTGTATTTTTAATTTATCTAAATTAATTTAAAATATAATGAAAAGCTAAATATATATAGTTGACATTTTATGCCCCAAAAGTAGAGTTATAGGTGAAATATAATGTCAAAATATCGTCAAAAATGTGAAACCTAACCGACCAGGTAAGCTTGTCTCTCGAGCGCCAAGCGAGCAGCCATCTCACGATGATGTCGCTCGAGCGGTAGGCGAGCGCCAAACGGGCGACACTGGGGTGCTGTGTCTTGGGTTATATTTGATTTCCTTGATTCTTTTACTTCCCAAAAGCTTCCTTGTCAATATCTTGACCTGTTCAAATTCAACACAAATTCCAAACTCCTAATTGGGTTTTCAAATAGAATTTCAACTAGAATTTGCCAAATAAACTTCAAATAAGATTCCAAAATAGCATTCCAAAAGGATTTCTTCTTAATTCGATTTTAATTAGAACTCCAAATTATCTTCAAAGTAGAATTTGGATCACATCCTAATTCTAACACTAAAAAATAATGTGTGATAGTTACATTTAAATAGTTGAAATGCTGTATAGTTTTTCAAGCGAACTGGCTAGATCGACTCAATTTATTTACACACTCAAGATATCCAGTCAGAAAAGTTAATAACTAGAAAGAGAAGGCTTCTACTAGTTAGTCTACTTTCTTAATAAATGCATAGTAGAATGACCACATTAGATCTAAACAAGCTTTCCATGGCTATTATTGTTCTAGCAATTAATAATCAAACACATGGATAAAAGTTAAAAAAAAGGCCTACTTTTCTTAATTATACACCAATAATTAATTCGAATATTCTAGGTTTGTGATATTGCACATCAAGTATAAATCACACTATAGTATCGTGTAACTAATTATAAGTCAATCCCAACTTTGTCATATTATATATATGGAATGATCAAAATTAATAAATAATACTAGAATATTATCTATGTTTATCATGCTTGTTACTATGAAATGGTACTTTAGGGGAAAAAAAATAGTGCGATTTTTACATGTTTGTAATGTTGGATTGAACCATACAGAAGAGAAATTGGTTGTTGCGCAAATTTTTTTTATATAAAAGTTGATGAAATATATGATTGAAAAGTTCGTAAAATTTTATAATATGTACAATGTAGTTCAATATCCAGTTAAGGCAAGGATAGAAGCAGATTGGCTTTTGATTAACTTGTGAAGTTTGCGTACACATACATACAATCATATTTTAGATTTTGTTTGACTAACATTATGCGTGTATATCCGTCATTCTACCTAAACTTGTTTCATTATTTGATGCGGATGCATGAACAAACTCAAGCATTTGTATTCCAATCTTGTGACAAGTAATCTTTTAATTGCTCCTTTATTTTTAAATTCCATTTAAATGAATTGAAGATTGACCGCCCTATATTCTAGATTTGCAACCTGAAAAAATGATTGAAAGGCATCTACTGCAAGGCTGTCAAATGAATAAGACGTACGTAAGATCTCTTACGTAAAATTTTTGGGACAAAGCGATGTCATAGAAGATGTCCTGCGAGACAAGGGCACATCGCTTCGAAAATGCATTGTAGCCAATTGTAGGACATCGCTTCTGACATCGAGGTTTGGCCTCTATATGTTGCTTCAGCTGAATTGTCCAAATTACTTTGACCTTCATATCTAATTACCTCAGCTAGGCTTTGAAAGACGAAGTAACGTGCGGTGCGTGTCTTAAGTGACTTGTTACTATTTTCTTAGTTGACTACCCGTGATCTGTCTCATGTAAGATGAAACGTAACAACAATAATTTCAAGATAAAAGTATATGGAGTAACACCGTTGCGTACAGAATATTACAACTTTTCAACCAAACGAACAATATCCAACCTAGCTAATACATAAAGCCCACAGAAATCTGTCTTGACATTCATGCCACGTTCTAGTTGTACCCATTTAGCCACCAGCCGCTCTCTAGATTGTTTATTTATACTTATATAGCAGTTTGTGGGATTCAAGCACTTAGTTTTTAGTTCATAAAGGTTAATTAATAGACGAGTAAAGCAGTAACAGAACTGGACAAAGAAGAGGAAGAGGAAGAAGAACAATAAAGGCGGCCATAAGAAAAAGCCAAAAACATCTCCTTCAATATCACTTTTTACAGTATGTTTTCTTCTTTTACAGAATATTCAAATTTGCCAACCCAACTGGCAAATACAATTACAAATATAAATCAATCTACATCCCACGTTCTCCCATTATTTTTTGAACAAATGGGTGGATTCAATCTGTTCATATGCGTGTTCTCACTTTTTGTGGGTAGTTTCTTCTTCTCGGACTTGGCTTCTGCTCAACTCAGACAGAATTACTATGCAAATATCTGTCCTAACGTCGAAAACATTGTCAAAAACGTTGTTAAACAGAAATTCCAACAAACGTTTGTTACTGTTCCAGCTACCATTCGTCTCTTCTTCCATGATTGCATGGTCCAGGTACTCCCAAATTCATTTTTGATCATAAACAGATTTTCAAATTCAAATTAAGATTAATTATTTGCTCTCCTTTTGGTTTTCGGGTTTTTTAGGGCTGTGATGCATCAATTGTAGTAGCATCGACTCCAGGCAACACAGCAGAAAAAGATCATCCGGATAATCTTTCACTGGCTGGAGATGGATTTGATACTGTAATCAAAGCTAAAGCAGCTGTGGATGCTGTTCCAAGTTGCAAGAATAAAGTTTCTTGTGCTGATATTCTAGCAATTGCAACTCGAGACGTCATTGTCCTGGTTTGTACACAACTATAAGTAATTTTAATCAATAAAAGTTACCTATTTACTTACAAGTAACCTTATGTTTTGGTAAAATAATGTACAGGCCGGTGGACCTTCATATGCTGTTGAACTGGGGAGGTTGGATGGGCTAAGTTCAACCGCTGCAAGTGTAAATCTGCCCAAACCAAGCTTCAATTTAAATCAGCTTAATTCCATGTTTGCTTCTAAAGGCCTATCACAGACTGACATGATTGCTCTCTCAGGTAAAAACCACAATTTTCCTTTCATTAGAATTTTTTGCGTCCCAAACACGTATTAAATTTTCATACTAGATCAAATTGAGTGCGATTCACGTCGTGCTTATGTTTTTCTTGGCTGTGAGTCACGTACGAGTACGTTCATAAATTAATGAGTCCAGCAGACAGAGAAGAATTTTCCAATGTTACCATGTGATAGTTCTTAGGGTGTTTGTTGTTTATTTGAGAATTGAAATCAATTCTCATTTTCAACCACACATTCTTTAATAAAATAATATTTTTCATCACATCAATATTTTTTTCTTTTTTTTTAATCACACATTTTCCATCATATCACTATTCAAAAGTTTGGTAAAAATTTTCCTTTTCTACAGTAAATCAATTCTCATTTTCAACCACACATTCTTCAATAAAATAATATTTTCCATCACATCAATAATTTTTTCTTCTTTTTCAACCACACATTTCCCATCATATCACTGTTCAAAAATCAATTCTTCCCCCAAAAATCCCTACCAAACAAGTTATTGTGATATGTCTAGCCATATGGGATCATAGTCCACATTGTAATAAATAAGGTTCATTTGAATTTTCAACTAAGTCACATCCTCTATCGTCAAGGTTGTGGAAATATTAACATATTAGAATATTCAGTACGTCAGATTAACACCCTGTTTGATGCAGATTATTCTCTCGAGAATGCATTTTAAATAATGATTTGATGAAAAATATATGGTTAAAAAATAAGGAAACGTTTTGGATTTACGTGTTATTATTTTATTGAAGAATGTGTAATTGAAAATAACAGAGAGAAAAATGTATCTTTAGAAGAATGAGTATCAAACGTGGTGTAACTATCAGTTGCCTAGTCCTAGTCCAATTTCACTTTTCCCACATGGGCACGTCGTCTTCTTTCTTGCTATATGGAAGATTAATCCATAACGTGATAAACATAGATCATAAATTGTTAATCATTGATATAGTTCATTTGAATTTTCAATAAAGTCACCATCTATCTATATATTACTCAATTGAAATATTAATTTAATATCAAAACCATTGAAAATATATTTGGTACGTTAGGTGTCATGTCCAATTTCATTTGATCCCACTTTCTATTTTCTGTGCAGCTGCCCACACTGTAGGATTCTCACACTGTGACAAGTTCTCAAACCGGATCTACAGCTTCAGTAGCCGGAATCCGATAGACCCGACCCTGGACAAGCAATATGCGGCCCAATTACAGTCCATGTGCCCAAAAAATGTGGACCCAAGGATAGCTGTAAACATGGATCCAAACACCCCCAGAAAATTTGATAATGTGTACTTTCAAAATCTTCAGCAAGGCAAGGGCCTCTTCACTTCGGACCAAGTTCTGTTCACAGACTCGAGATCTAAACCTAATGTTAATTTATGGGCCAAAAACAGTCAGGCCTTTGAAAAGGCATTTGTCGAGGCCATTACCAAAATGGGCCGGATCGGAGTGAAGACGGGGACGAATGGGAATATTAGGTTTGACTGCGGAAAATTTAATTAAAGGATCGCCATCTCTTCGACAAATCAAGCACGACTTTGCATATGGGCATGTAAATGGGTGCACAAAATGTTTTAAGAAAAAAATATATCTTTTCTATGCAATAAAAAATAATAAAACATTACAAGTATTCCAAATTTGTTGTGAAATAATAAATGAAACGCATGAATTGCACAAAGTTTGTTTTATGTGAAATTGCTCGCAATAAGATTTGCTAACAACTAGTTGTATGGTCTATCGGACCGAAAATTTCACTAACGGTGTCATTATATGCAGATATAATTGCAATATTCTACCCAAAGCCTTGTTTTTGTTATGGATGTTTATGCTTGTCTGCCCGTGTGAGGGTGAGGCTGGCCCGATGGCTTGCAAGACTTCGGGTAGTCGTGCGGACATGTGACCATACCTATAACATTTGAACGTATGAGTAACCTAAGACCTGGAAAATTACTAGTTACTCATCTTCATTATTAACCAAAGTTTATAAAAAGTATACAAGAGGGAATGTGAAACTTAATGATTGTTTGATACTCATTAATTTATTTTAGAGTTATGCTAAAAGTACCTAATTTTTTACCTAATGTTTTACTGAATTGACAGTGGCGGCTCCCTATTGGGGGGCGCCGTGGGAGCCGCCACACATTCATATAATAAAATGTTCTACACGTATATCAAAATTTTCCTACTTTTTAACAATACATTCCCCTAAAATTCGTTATTCAAAATTTTTATTTCTCTGATAATGATTGTCAAACATGCTCTTAAAAAGCTCAACAATTTCAATTTAAAGCACTAGATTGCAATCCCCAATGCACATCATGCTTTCTTTGTTTTTTTAAATGATGATACGATCCTTCAAAGTCAACTCAGTCTAAGAATAAAAATTGAAATTCCAAACTTTGCTTGCTGGCGTCTTTTTTGCTGCCCATAATCACAAGCAATTTTGAGGCTTGCCGTAATATACCACGTAACTAAGTAATCATGGGTCCAATGATTTGAAATTACTGTTTTTAATTGAATTCCACATATAAAAATACTTTAACGTATACATATGTCATATTGCTCAATTAACCTATTCCAAATTCAAGTCATCATCCAGCCCACGTTTTGGATGGCAAAAAGCAACAAATCTTTCACATCGGATTGTCAATATATTCATTAAAATTCTTATCCACCTATGATTTGAATTGACTGCTTTCCGATGAAGATGCCAGACGCAATGTAAGCCTTTCGTACTTCATATAAAAATTAGACTTCTAATATAATTGATAAATAATAAACATATTCGGATCCATGAAATGTGTGGTCAACAATTCTCACTTTGAGACAAGAATGTGTCACCTAACCCGTTAGGTGAGACCTGATCATGCTAAATAAAATTTGACAGATTTTTGACGAATATTTGTTCCGAAGAAATATCATGTCCCTTTCTTCACATAAGCAATCACCTTAAATAATATGTTTAAAAATAAGTTTAATTTATGTTTAATATGTGATTTACATTTAATTTTCACTAAGATCGACTTTAGGGATTGAAAACACAGATGACAGTCTCTATGATAGTGCTCACAATCAAGCTTTCACTGAGCATGCCAACTTGATGAATGAGACATTGCAACAATTTCAAAATATGTGATCCCAAATAATGCAGTTGTCTAAACTTATAATTATGCGGTGACATTGAATCATTTATTTTTTCTTATTATTTTGTGTTGCATTGAAATTATATTTTCATGTGTATACGATTTTTATGTTTTGGTGCATTTACATAGAGATTGAAGAATTTTTTATATTATTTAAATAAATATTAATCAATTATCTCACTATTGCAGTCGTTGGCTGTTGACAATCAACGATCTCCCTAGCTCCCCAACATTCCTGCTGGATCCGTCACTTTTTATATTATCACATTTATGTCTCAAATTTTTTTAAATAAATTGTTCCTGATTATGATTTCTCTTGATTCTTTAAAATAGAGTAAAAAGGACTCATTTACCTATTACATTTTTAAATAAGCAAAATAAATAATAATATAAAAATGCTTTCTTGAGGCGACAAATGTAAATGGTAGAGCCTTTGAAAAGGCCTTTGTCGAGGCCATTACGGAACTGGTATGACTGGGACGAATGTAAACATTCGTTTTGACAGTGGGAAATTTAATTAAAGGATCGCCATCTCTTCGACAAATTAACGCTCGTCGATGATGTTCGTAATTCCGACACTAAATTTCTGCAATATCCAGTCGAATTACAAAAGCCAAAAATCAACTCACCTTTATCATATTTGCATGCCATTCCTCCCGTTGCATGACTCAGATTTCTCTTGCAACATCCGTCGGTGTTTTAACGTAATATTCCCCTGATTTGGTTTTATCTGAATGTACAAACGATTTCCACAAAGGAAAGACAACCCACCTTAGCATCCATACAGATATACACCAACAAACTAATGAAAGAGCACGGTGAACAACGCCATTGTGGAAATTTTGTTATATAGACAATTAGTTTGAAACTTCATTTTGGCGACTAAAAGAAGCACTTGGAACAAGATCAAGAACGAGTGGGTAAAGAAATCTCAAGAAAGGTCAAGAACATTTGAAACAAGGTCAAGAACTGGTCTATAAAATTGAATTAAAAACCTTAAGAAGCAGGTTGCAAACAAGTTGATAAAAATGGAAAAACCTTAATGAGTGAGGTCATGAACCAATCGATAAAGATAAAAAGAAAAACCTTATGGATAAGGTCATACACAGAGATGAAAAGGAAGGAATAACCTTAAGAATAGAAAGATTAAAATGAAGAAAAACCTTATGACAAGGTGGTTGTTACAATTCAAGGCCACATAAGGCTTCCAAGATCAGAGAATCATTCACAGAAGAACATAAACAGAAATCAAGAAGATCAATGCTAGAATATTTATGTGGTTCGCCAGTTAGGTGAAATTACACACCTACATCCACGGAGCTCAATTGAGCTAATCTGCACTATGAATCTAAATATGGTTACAAGTCTATGATGCGATTACAGACCAGATCCAAAGGATCAAAAGTATACATGGGACTCTAAGAAGAAGAAAACCCGCTTTCAGTGGCCCCGTAAATTGAACATTAACCAAAGAATAAGACCGTAATTTTGAAGATAGAAATGCAAGGTAGAAAGAGATTTGAGACACAGTGAATCCAGTGACAAAAGTGTAAAACCTCACTCCTTTCTCTCGCCCATCCTAAAAAAGCCTTGTCTAAGGCCTCTTTCCTATGAAGTCTTGGATAATTAATTCTCTCCAGCCGTTGAGAGCCGGAAAGCCCTTCCAAGAGACCATATTTCCCTGCATAAAACACATTTTAGCCAAGTGCTTTTACCAGCAGAAATGCTAATGAATCACACTTCTCCATAGTTGCAAATCGGTTGACTGAACAACAACAAAAAAATAATAATAATAATAATAATAAAATGAAGGAAAAACCTTGTGTGGCCAAAACAAGCACTCAAACTCACTAACCATGAACAAGATAATATCCATATAGCTGTTGTAATACTTTATTAATAGCATGTATGCATACACTATCACTGACGTTGAATTCCAAATGTAAGAGAAAACAATTGTAGAAATATGTTATAAGTGATACACATTTCAATTTCAAAACAAGGTGATACACATTTCAATTTAAAAACAAGGTGTAATATCCCGAAATTTTTTAGCAAAAATTTTAATATTTTAGAAAGTAATTAAAAATAAATAAATTGGGGACTTAATTGAATTGATAGTATAAATGATATATGAATTATAATTAAAATAGTATTATGGGCATTGGAAGTGCAATTTTATTAAAAATGGAGTAATTGAATATTTACCCAAGGATCAAATGTGCAATTTCATAAACAAATAAAATATTGACATCTTTATCATAGGGGTTAAAAGTGCAATTTGATTACAAAAGACATAATTGCATATTTGCCCAAGGGTTAAAGGTGCAATTTCATAAACAAATAGAATATTGACATCTTTATCATAGGGGTTAAATTGCAATTTGATAAATTGCACAATTAACCCCTAACATCCACTATAAATAGAGGATGAATTGGGAAGTAGAACACGCCTCCTATCCCTTTCATATCTTAAAGTATGTTTTTAAATTATTTGCAAAGTCTTTCGACTAAAGGCATCAACTATAATATTAGCTTTTTCGGGATGATAATTGATACTACAATCATAATCCTTGACTAGCTCAAGCCATCGCCTTTGTCGCATGTTCAACTCCTTTTAAGTGAAAGAGTACTTCAAACTCTTGTGATCTGTATAAATCTCACAACGTTCTCCATAAACGTAATGCCTCCAAATTTTCAATGCAAACACTACAGCTGCTAATTCTAAATCACGAGTAGGGTAATTCTTTTCATATCCCTTCAATTGCCGTGACGCATAAGCAATAACCCTACCATTTTGCATTAACACACAACCAAGTCCATTTCTAGAGGCGTCACTATACACCCCAAATTTTTCAGAGGCAGACGGAATAGCTAGTACCAGTGCTATAGTCAGCCTATTCTTAAGTTCCTGAAAACTTAGCTCACATGTCTTCGTCCAATTAAAAGATACTCCTTTTCGAGTTAATTGAGTTAATGGAACTGCAATACTCGAAAATCCCTCGACAAAACGATGATAATATCCTGCAAGTCCCAAGAAACTTCGAACTTCCATGAGAGTAGTCGGTCGTGACCAATTTGTTACAGCTTCGATCTTACTCGGGTCAACGGAAATCCCGTTTGCAAAAACCACATGACCAAGAAATACCACTTGCTTAAGTTAAAATTCACATTTTGTGAATTTCGCAAAAAGCTTATTGGCTCGTAAAATAGATAAAACCTAGCGTAAATGTTGAACATGTTCTACTTCACTCTTAGAGTAAATAAGGATATCATCAATAAAAATGATAACGAATTTATCTAAATATTCTTTGAACACTCGATTCATTAAATCCATAAAAGCAACAGGGGCATTAGTTAAACCAAATGGCATGACCAAAAATTCATAATGTCCATATCTAGTCCTAAAAGTAGTTTTCGATATATCTTCTTTAATCTTTAGGTGATGATATCCTGAACGAAGATCAATCTTGGAGAATATTGTGGCACCTTGAAGTTGACCAAATAGATCATCTATCAGAGGAAGAGGATATTTGTTCTTGATTGTCACTTTATGTAGTTCTCGATAATCAATACACATTCTCATTGTTCCATCATTTTGCTTAACAAACAAGACTAGAGCACCCCAAGGGGAAAAACTTGGGCGAATGAATCTCTGATCTAGTAATTCCTGTAATTGTAGTTTCAACTCTTTAAGCTCAGCAAATGCCATGCGATATGGGGTTTCTAATATTGGACGAGTGCCATGAATTAGATCAATGGCAAAATCAATTTCTCAATCAGGAGGTAGTCCGGTCAACTTTTCAGGGGAAATATCAGGAAATTCTCGAACTACTGGAATTTTATCTAAAGAAATTAGTAATTAACTAAATAATTCAAGTACTTAAAACATAGTTAATTAAATTATTAAGTTAATTAAATTATTATCTAAACAAATAAATAATTAATTAACAAAATAATTTAAAAAGATACCTTAAGATATGAAAGGGATAGGAGGCGTGTCCTACTTCCCAATTCATCCTCTATTTATAGTGGATGCTATGGGTTAATTGTACAATTTATCAAATCGCACTTTTAACCCTTATGATAAAGATGTCAATATTCTATTTGTTTATGAAATTGCACCTTTAACCCTTAGGCAAATCTGTAATTATGCATTTTGTAATCAAATTGCACTTTTAACTCCTATGATAAAGATGTCAATATTTTATTTGTTTATGAAATTGCACCTTTGATCCTTGGATAAATATTCAATTACTCCATTTTTAATAAAATTGTACTTTCAATGCCCTTAATATTATTTTAATTATAATTCATATATCATTTATACTATCAATTCAATTAAATCCCTAATTTATTTATTTATTTATTTTTAATTACTTTCTAAAGTATTAAAATTTTTGCTAGAAAATTTCGGGATATTACATAAGGCGTGTCCAGAAGATTCTAGTCTTGCGAATTAAAATAAGTCAATGGGTTGACACTTGTATGGAAGTCACAAGTCTAAAATGTTTATCAAGAATTTTATATGATCAAAATTTTAGGAAATTTTATCCAAAATATTTTAGCCTCCATTCAAAATTTATTAATGATGAAACTTCATTTTCAACCACACATTCCAATGAGCCAACAAGTAGTATCCACAACTAATTTTTATTAATTTATAAATTAAACTGTTTAAAAATTCTTCCCAGATGGAAGCTTAGATATTTTGATGGACAATAGAATTTAGCACCTGTATAGTTCAGATTTTTAGCGGAAAATGGACTATTTGGTGTCAAAGTATGGGTCCCATAAGGAATAATTTATTGTATTGGCATACCAATGATGAAAATGTTATCATCTCAGCAACAAATTGTTGTTGTAATGACCGATATGCCCCTTCATTATGATCACGCAAGGAAATAAATTTTGTAGGGCATGGGGAAATACAATAAGGGGCAGAATGGTCATATTGGACGCTTACTCAAAGGTGAAAGTGGAAATGCAAATTTACTGAAGCATGGGAATGGACATTTCAATTAATGAGACAATCTCAAACTATCAAATTTTGCTAAAAAAATTGATTAAAAAATACAACCAGATAGACACTTAAGGCGTGTTCGGTAGAGATTAAAATTGGATTAAAATTGAAAAATTAGCCGTTATTGTCGACTTTTATTAGACGGGTGGGACCCAATAACGGCCATATTTTCAATTTTAATTGGATTTTAAGCTGTACCGAACAGGCCCTTAGTCAACCTCCACCATCCATTCTAAGGAAGTGAAATTATAAATAATTAGGGATAAAAGTCCTCGTATGTAACCAAGTAACAACTCTAACGAATTCATGTAATTGTAGAATTTCCCAAAGGAAAAAATTCACATATGGATTTTCTCTCTCTCTTCTATAGCACTTGTGAACTAGAATAATATGTTACGAATTTCAGTGAATTTTGCAATTTGAATCATGTTATCTGGGGTGAAATGCAGTTAATATCATTATAAATTTCATCGAGTTTTGATTGAAAGTCATAGAGAATCCCATTCGCCGGGATCCTCATTTTATGGAAACCGTAGCAAGAAATTGCACTCAAATAGAATGTTTAAGACACATTTGAACATGCAATTTAATAGAATTTTAAATGATTAAGTAATTAAGGAAATTACTAGAAACTCTATAATATGAGCAGCCTCAACACGTTTTTCTAAGCTCCACCTTGTGATTCATACTCATATTTGGCTACTTGATTCATTGTGGCCTGGAATATTTGCCCAATGAGTCTGGGTGTTAGTTCAATACAGTATTCAATCTGAGTGATCAGGAATTGGTTAGCTGATTTTTTATAGTTTACTTGGTCAGTAGCTTTACTTTCGTTTTATTACTGCTAGTTGCAATGGAGTCCAACTGAGTCCTATTTTCTTGTATTAGTTGGCAAATATTCAGCAGTTTGTTGACTTATACAGTACTAGCTAAAACTTTTAAGTGTTAATTTTCTATCATATATTTTGAGTACTTGAACTAGAATTAGGCCTCTGTCAATTTCGATCATAAATTTGTACAATAGGATTTGTTTTAAGAAAAACAAAATCGAAATTAATAGCACACGCGTACTTCGCTAGATTTTTACATGCAACCAGCCAGAAAGTAGAAATGTGGATACACTAATTAATTTATAGGATATTTACCAACTTGTTGGTTGCTACTTATTTGATTATGCCCACATTCACAAATCACGATTTGTTAGTAAAAAAAACAGTAGGACTCTAATTTATTAAAGTTTGAGAAAAATGCTCAATAAGGTCTAAAATATCAATGGTAAAAATGAAATAAACACTTCTTAAATTAGCCCCTGTTTGGTACACATTTTTTTCATTCTCATTTTCAATTACAAATTCTTCAATAAAATAATATTTTTCATCACATCAATGACTTTTCCTTCTTTTTCAACCACATATTCCCCATCACATCATAAAAAAAAATGCATTCTTGATTTCACAATGTGCATCAAACAAGCTCTTAATATGGAACTAAAGGAAAAAATTACTTGATGAATTTTTAATTAAAACATAGCTGTGGGAATGTGTGTCAATTTTTAAAATATACAAACAAAAGCAAAAGCAAAAGCTTAAAGCACCTCCAAGAGACTATTTATAAAGGCATATTGTGTATTTGCATAGACTCCAATAGTGCTTTCTATTTTGACTCCTCATTTTTCTTTCCAAAAAAACATTTATTAATTTCTCATCATAGTTTATTTAACATATTATTTTTACATGTCAATGACCAATCAATTCAAATATGATTAGAATAATTTAGTAAGTAGAACATTGAAATATATAGATTATTAAACACAATCATTATAAATTGAGATAGAGAGCGGATTTAGCTATCCAACCTTTTATTTTAAAAAATTAAAAGAGTCTCTTAGAGATTATTTTTAAAAATTATCTTTCTCTTTTGAGTAGTTTCAAATATTTTTTGCATCTCCAGAGAGTTACATCATTGCCATTGTGACTTGATCATCAAAAGGGGCACAAACAGCCTTTAAGTACCGTTCCATGTCAGAGATCATCTCATATTCAAATAGTCTATTGGAGATACTCTTAGGCAGAGTCCATTTATTAATGGAGAAAACTAAAAACATAATCGAAATTTAAAAAATAAATAAAAAAGTAGCAAATGTAGGACTCTCAGGCAACAGATGGAGAATCCAAGGAGAGTTTGTGGAGCTCTCCTCTGCCTTGGACTCTACATTAACTCTGCAGCATGCAGATTCCAATGCATATAATGCTTACATTAACTCTGCATCATGCAGATTCCAATGCATATAATGCTTTTTTTAATTTAAAATATAATTAATAAACTAAAAAGAAAAGGAAAAGTTGAATAAAAAATTGGGAAGTCCATTGGACTTTCCATTTATTAATAGAGAGTCTAATGTTGGACTTTCCATTTTAAAAAATGGAGATACCAACATACCATTAATTGGACTATGCATTAATTAATATGGAGAGTCCAATTAATCGATTGCATCCCAAAACATGAACATTAAGGCCCTAGGCTATACATAAACTATGATAAGTTTTTATAAAACCAATATATTTAATCACAAAATAGTAAGCTCGTAAAGCAACTCAAATCGAGCCTCTTAGATCATGCACGAGATTATATATCATTAGACAAATGACACAAAGTTTAACAATGTAATTTGTCATATTTTGAATCTTTTAAAATCATACCTCAAATTTATTCTATTAACTTGAGCGCGCAGGGAAGGGGAGGTCCACTCTAAGATGCTCTTCCGCCAACCAATCAGCAAAGACTGCTACCTCTTTTGATAATCAAAGCACTTAAATGAGAAAATGAATGTAAGCCAGCAAAATAAGTAAGAATTTTATGTAACTTCGAGAAAAGTCATGAATCGATAAGGTCTAACATATCAACAAAGACATGAAATATACATTTTTGTGGAACTTACTGAGAAAGATTATTTAATACTTCATATTCATCTAAAATGTATGTTAATATCCGAGCTAACGTTGTATAGGAGCACAGATGGTCACTAACAGAAAATTGCAAAAAGAGAAAATCTCTCCCCTTCAATTTACAAGTTCAATCCTCAAATGTTCAGCCATCTTAAACAAACTCAAAATGTGACTATTATATTATGATATGCTTCAATATGTGGACCCACCCTGCACCACTACCATGCAAAAGAACACTTCCAGACTCTTGAACCAGTATGGAATTATGGTCATGGCACAGACAAACATTGCATATAGACCACTCACAAAGACAAATGATGTAGAAGATAAGAGTTACATATGATCCCTAACAATACATGCACTATAATTTTTTGAATCAGTGATAGCTTGAAAGGTACCTTGAAAAGCAAAACTGCTTAAGCCAAAACCTGCAGGTGCATAGCAAACTTATTCAAATTTTATCTTCATCTACAAACAATAATGTGGACGTTGGTCCTTTTTCAACTTCCAGACCAAATACAAGGTTGTTTAGGTTGCTGTGTGCCACACTCGCCCCAAGAAACAACACTCAAGCATGGATCCAGCTATTGGACAGTTCTCTTCAAACATATCTTCCCTTTCTCTCTTCCCCATTTCTGTCGCAAGTTACTTTCATTAAAGCTTCTAGACTGAAAAGGAAGAGGAAACAAAAAAGAAATATATCTGAAATGGTGTTATTAACAACATGCTAGAAAAGTGGAGAAGAAAAGAACTATAGAATCTCAATACTTCTACAGAAAAGAGAGAGAAGAATAACAGGGACCTTTTTTCGAAACAATATGTTAGATTGATCAGATGGGGGTGGAGGTACCATGATACGGTACTTGCTCTACACAGCTCAAGTTGATTTCTTTCAGACTCTTTGCCTTATATATTCTGGTTGATAAGAATGCTAGTTAAATGCATGGAAGTCAAGTTTAAAACTAACCAATTGCAAACATTTGTAATGTGGGCTTTCCAGAATTACTTCCCATTTCAGAGCAAGCACATTTGAAGAAGCAGCAAATTGCAAAGAGAATTATTACCATTGGATTCCCTCGACAATATTCTCTTTGATAGACTTCCAGTTAACTCAAGCCATAAATACTCCAGACAGCAGACTTGCAGAAAATATATTATATTGCTTGATTTTCATAGATGCCCATCTAGAAGATGTAATCCTACCAGCTAAAAAAACTGAATGGAAGCAAAAATGAAATTCTAAACAAGCCATTATGGCTGGAAGAATTTATCAACTAACAAATAAATAAACATTACGCAAGAAACCATATTTAAGCAACTCAACAATATGAAAAAGCATTGATCGCAAACCAGTATATTGAACATCACCATAGCTCCTTCCTTTCTTTGATTCTTCTTCCCTTTCTTTTGGGAGCATGGAAACTTTAAAAGAATGATAGCATGGAAACTTTAAAAGAATAGATTTAGTCAGAAACAAGTGGTTACTAAGGTGGAAAAGCTTATATTTGCAAAAGAGGGCCACTGAAAATGGCTACAAGCTTTCAAGTACCCATATCCTTATGAGGTAAGAAGTCCCACTCAGAAATAATCAGCTCTGAGATGCATGTACAAACTAACCAAATCGAACCAAAATTTTCATGTAGCTTTAGAATACGTGTTGATCGTATGAAATGGGTCAACAACCCTGGTTAAAAGAGCTTCTAGAGTTACAACAGCAGTCATCACTTTGAGATGAACTCCAAAGTGGCCGACTATATATCCATATTATCTTGACGTACCCAAGGAAACCTTCTCAAGTTGTATAGTCCAATCTTCTCCAAGTACACTGGGATTTGACTCCATTGCAACTCGAAAATCTAGCATTGACACTGAAACAAATCTATTATGCTTCTGTAAACATGGCAGTGGCCCCATCCTGTTTATAACCTGATGATGAACATTATTGAGGAGCTTGTGTTCAGACCTTGAAGCAGCTAAATCCAGACAAGGTTGCAGTAATCTCTTCATAAACATGTCCAGCCCATTATTTAACAAGTTGGCACAATTTGCTGAGATAGTCAAACCCTCGGTCTCCAACATCTGTTCCAACTTCATCCTTAAAGAACTGGTATCAGGCAGCTCACCAGTGTTATAACAGGTCTCAGCATTCAGGTAAGGCGATGAGCCATGCACCTTCCTTAATCCTTTCGTATTAAGAGAAATCCCAAGAGGAGCCCTAAGAGGGGTTCTACTGTAAACTCCTGGGCTTCCAGCAAACTGTTCGACCTCTTCACCCTCTTCGACAGAGGTGACTTCAGCAGGAGGCCTGCTACCTAAAGATAACAATTCGGTAGCACTCTGCTGTTCCACAACCTTAGGTGTCGAATCTTCACATCCCACATTGTGGGTCTTCCCATGAGGCCTGAGGGGGCTTGCGATGTCCTTTAATGTGAGATCTCGAAGGGTAGAAGATCTTCCCTTCCTAGGAGACTGAAGAAACACATCTCTAGATAGTGAATGAAGACTACTTTTTTGATACCCATTCGGAACTTTCAAATTCAATGAAGCTTGAGCTTTTTCATGTTTAGGTGAAGGAGTCTTGGAAATACTGGCATTCTTGATAATTGCTCTGAGAAATCCATTATGAAGTGCAATATTCTCTCTTCCCAATAATCCAACACATAGCTTACCAAACTCCGATTTGCTAACCTTGAGGCTTAAATACCTATTAAGTAGATTAAAATATTTATCTGCTTTTTGGTGACCCAACCTCCTTTCAATATGAAGTTTCAGCTCCAAAGTACTGATTTGGGGGAAACGCCTATCTCTCGACATTTGGCTCACAAATTAATCACTATCATCTAAAAGGAATATATTTCATTAAACACAAGAAGCGCCACAAAATGCAACCAACCCATATTTGATTTCCTGTTCCAAAACATTAATTCTTGTCAAACCTGACCCTCAGTGAGCGTAGTCAAGAGCACTTGCAGACAAACACCAGTAGGCAATACTCTGCAAAAAATAGCAAAATCCAAATGCAAATCAAACTCACAACAGTAGGTATCACTTCACTCTCATAAAATCCCGAATTCAACAATCAAAGACAAACAATTAAGCACATCGTCGTGATTCAATAAGCCAAATGAGACCACAATTTAAGGAGAAACACAAAAAAACTCCAAGAAGCAAACTTTATCCAATCCCAAGTGAAATTCTAACTTCCGACTTAGACACTTGTGTGAAATTTCAATCTAGAAACAACAAAACCCATTACAGGCACCAAATGCTCATTTTAACCAACAAAATAAAGAAAAAAAAAAGAAACTTTACCTGATTTAGGTGAGCGCCAAATTAATAAATATGCGGCTTGAATTTCATAAAAAAACAGTGAATTTTCGTAGCAGCAGTACTGATCGAGCTTCGGGAGGGTTAGATAGAGAAAGCGAGGAGACTATTGGCCCTCGAGAGATTCTTCTCACGTCATACCAGAGTCAAAGGCAAGCGTGTCCTTTTACAAGTGATGAAGAACAATAGATAAGTGAATCCGAAACTTGTTTTTGTGTAGGGGACGAAATGGGAAGGGTTCCTTTTTGGGTTCGGAATCATTTACGAGGTTTGGACCAAAGTTTTTGGGAAGAAAAATTCAATAACGCTGTGTGTACGCTTTCAATCTCAGTAACCCTTTTAAAAAATGATCACGTGGCAAAGAAAAAAGAGTAAGCTATAGGTAATTTTAAAAAAATGGAAAAAATAAAAACTCTATTTAATATGCCAATTTTCGAGATAATTAAGTCGAAATATTGCTTTCTCAATATCATTTTAAAGTTCTCATGACTTAATTTTTAACATCATTAACTGCGTGTGAAACGGTCGCAAATGTTATCACCAGTCAAAGTACACAAGTCCCAACTAGTATTTCAAGAATTTCGATAATACATAAGTTTAAAAATTCTCTCACAATCGTACGCTAGTCAAATTCCTAAATCGCACACGTTATCTCGACGTTCATTTCGAGAACTACAATCTATTCTTTTAAAATATCCAAGCTATCATCTAGAAGAATAAATCGAATTGTCTAAATGTACATCAAAAATTGTAAAACGTGCTTGTTAAAAAGAAAACTGCAACTCGTCTTTTCTTTAGTTTTTTCAATTATTTCATTAATATTTACTATTTTTGCGCCACAAATTTTTTAATATAATTACATTGTTTTATTAGAAATTTTACATGAAGTTTCATATCTCGTGTAAAATTTTTGACGTCATACTACATATAAAATTTCCAATAAAATGATGTAAATTATTTAGAGAAATTTGTCACGCAAAAATAATAAACGTTAATGAAACGATTTTAAAAATTTAAAGAAAAGACGAATTATACGTCTCTTTCTAATACGCACGTTTGATGCACATTTAACCCCCGTTTGACCCCATTAAATTCAATTTTTATTTTTTTTTCTCTCCTACTTTTAACTACACAATTTTTCATAAAATAATATTACACATAAAGCGAAAAATATTTCTCCTTTTTCAATCACCAATTCTCCAAAAAATACTATTCCACATTAAAATTTGAAATAGTGGGGGCAAATAGGGGCTTAACTATTTTTATGTTCGTTTAGATAATTCGATTTGTCTATGATATAGTTTTCGAAATGAATATGGAGATAACATATGCAAATTAATAATTCAGCTAGAGTATGATCGTCGGAGAATTTTAAAGTTAGCGTGTTATTTAAATTTTCGAAATATTAGTTTGGAATAGTGTAGTTTGAAATGCGATAATATTTGCTACAGTTGATCGTTTTGCGTGCTATTAATGACATGAAAAACTAATTTGTGAGCATTTCGAAATAGTATTAAGAATCCAATATTTCAACTTTGTTTAACATCCCAAAATTATCTCGAAAATTGACTGTTAAAAAGAAAATTTATTTCTTCTGTTTTTTTAAAAATTACTTATAGCGTACTTTTTTTTCTTTGCCGCATCATCGTTTTCTAAAGTTCTGTAATTGAAAGTCTGTACGTATAGCATTATTGAATTAAATTACTGGTACACTTGCCTTTAATCTCTGAATGGGTGGCGGTTTTTAAATTCTTCGTGATTGATGCTACATGTATGCTACGATGATTTTGAGAAAAAGGAGTTTTTTGATAATGTGTAATAAATTATATTATTGAGACAATATTCAATTTAAAATGAATTTGAAAAACATAAAATTTAAAAATGGGGTCGAAACAAGGATTTTAGATTATCTGCTCCAGTAAAAAATGGCCAAATTGAAAAAATAAATAAATAAATAAATAAAAAGACAACTAATTAGGTAATACAACCATTGTGAGAGTTTTGTGTTTTTGCTAATCAAGGAAATTCTTTTGGTGCCTTAAAAAATAAGTACCTGAGATCTGGCTTTTATTAATGCATGTCATGCATTTTTCCAATGTAAAATAATATCCACTGCAATCTAGCATATCAAAAGCTATTTATACAACGATTGTTGATAATTTTGGTGTTGTCAAAATTCAGGACGTAGATTTAAAAAACAGTTTTTAAAATGAATGAATGTGATGTTGTCGGTGTAAAGTTGTCAACCAAGGTTGTAATTGCATAGCATATTCAACGAGTTGACTTCGACTTTAGAAAAGCTAAAAAGGGCTAATCCAAGGTTCTCAAAGCTCGATTTCTACGTGTACAATGTTGAGCAAGTTGGCTTCGTGCAAATGACACCGAAGGTACTTGGCTCGAGTCAATTTGATCGAAGATTGTGCTCAACCCACAGGCGGCCATGTTACCATTTCAAACTGTCATTTATGCATGACATGAAGCTTGTGGTGCAATGTCAATGACAAGGCATTACTGTATTTTTAGTGTTAGCAACTCCAAACACTGACTTAGCATCAGATGGTGGACATCTGTCCTCTTTCATGTCAACAAACTTGTTTGTATTATTTTTTCATAACAAGACTTAGAGATTGTTTGACGAAGTATTTGATAAAACATTTAACAGATTTTGATAAAAATTGATGAAATATTTGATTGAAAAATTGATAAAAGTTACGAGTCTTATGATTAAAATTAGTTGTAAAGCATCAGATTTTGATATGTAGCTCATTTTGATTGAGACCAAACAGTGGCTTAATTTCAACTTGAAAAATAACACAAAGTAGCTGCTGGCATTCGACTTGCGATAAAAATTAAAATGGAGTCCCCAGTGCAAAAAGATGCAGCAATTTAGCTCTAATTTAACGACATTTCTATGCTTTCTTGGTTTATTTTGTTTCAAAGGAATCCAGAACAATTATGAGCATCATAATCAGGTAAGAAAAAGAAATTCTTGATCATACAAAACATTATTGATCAGTAATCAGTACATCTCAGGGGAGAAATTGGAGTAACATGTACTAAAACTAATAAATTTGACATTAATTTCAAGCCAAGGTATCATCAAATAGGTAGCCAAGCAGTAGCAAACACAACATTGTGTCCTTTCCATGTAAGAACAACATCTTCTTCTTCCCTCTTTAGTCCCCAACCTGCCGCATGTTCATCTAGCATGCTTTTCACTTCTGTAATGGCTTCTTCACTGAAAGAAATTCCCCGAAAACTCGCATTTCTCATTCTTTGCACCCACTTGCTTTTAGGTTCAAGCCTTTCAACTCTCTGAGGTCCTTCGTGAGCAATTACATTTTCGATCTTCCAACAAATATCGGCTTCATACCATTGCCTCTGCTTGCTCCCCCGGGGCAGAAATGTGTCCACAGTGTCAAAGGGTATCCATAGATAATTGTAGGCTGACCTTAATCTGTGCACTAGATTGTTTGATGTAAAATCTGCATCTTCATCGACTAATATCATGATTGTGGGATCCAAACTTCGTAATGCCTCGAGGAACATTGATCGAAGGAAGGAATTACTCGAACAAGTTTCAATGGAAATTTGAGGTGAATTAGCGGTTTGAACCACTGGTAGGGTTTCATCTGGTATGTAATGAAGCATCATATGTGAATTTATGACCAATGCCTCCCCATTTTCTGCACTTATCAAATGTTGCATCCTTAGTTGTTCTATTAAAGAAGAGAACCCGTCTGAAGCACTTGAAGGAATGACCCTAAATTCCATCACTACATTACGACACCTAGAGAAGTTAACTAATTTTGTACCTAATTCCTCGTAGGAAAGATCTAGCATAGGAGGGAAATCTTCTGTGGGTCCAGCCACCGTGAGTTTGACCAGCGGCGCCACCTCAAAACGGGTGGCTATGGCGTCTATCAGGGTTGGAATTTGCATGCAGTGTGTCGAACTTAAGTCAACTATATGAACCACTGAATACCCTTCAACAGCTTCTAATATGGCTGCATTTGCCGCAGTGAATCCGAACCGGTGCCACGGGGTTAAATCCACAAAACTAGCAAGTTCAATAATAGAGAATTTGTGGTTATTCATGGCTAGATTGGTGTGCACATTTGCCATGGCAGTGAGCAATTTACAGGTTCCACTATTCGCAGCACGGGCGATGATGGCTCGAAGGAACCCACACGTTAGGCGCTGGTTCGAGTCACCATCTGGTGGGGCAATATTGTTTAGAACCCACAAAATTTGTTGTGCAAGAGTTGCATCGTTGGTTTCAATGGCGTTGGCGCAGTGGACTAACAATTGTTCCATGCAATTGGCATCCCCAAAACTCCCCAAAGATTTGGATGTGGGAAAACCAAGCCATGGCCGTGCACTGTAAACTTGATTATTCATGTTCATATTCAGGCTTGTAAATGGAGAAATTTGGTGAGAAGGTAGTGATGGTAGTAGGGTCTCAGTGAATCGCATCATGAGATAGTGGGTATGTTGGGGCGTGTTCCAAGATGAACAAATAGAATTAGGACAGTAAGTAAGAAAGGGACGAGACTAAAAGTGGTACCTGATCATTGGGAAACGATCCATAATTGAGCTTCTGTAATAAAACTTTTTGCCGGAAAATCCTGTCAACAAATCAAGGAAATAGACTGTTCATCTTTTTCCTTAAAGATGAGCTATTAATATTCTTTCTTGCCCCATGCACAGAAAAATGACTGGTTAAGGTCAAAAATAGGCAAAATAGACTCTTCTTTGATGTCTGCAGATTTTTTCAGCCTGTAGAAGAAAATTTAAGAAAAAGATAGCAACTCTTCGAAGATTTAGAAAAAGGGATTTGAGAATTCAGAGAGAAAGATGAAGAGAAAGAGATGGGTAATATAGAGGGATTGGGTTTTGGTGGCATGTGAGGTGGCCGGCCTGGAAATTTGTCTACTTGTTGGAGTTGGATTTTGTCCTGTAATGGTAAAGACTGAAAGCAGTGGAATTTTGGCTTACTCACGGGTTATCATACACAACACATCATGAACAAATCATGTCCTGCACGTTATATTCCATTCTATAATTAAATTCATGTTTGGCTCCAATTTTTTAAAATTTATTTTTTAACGAATTCACTTTTAACTATACATCATGAGGGTGTTTGGTGGGGATTTAATTTAAATTTTTAGTAAATTGTGATAGAAATTTTTGAAATGTGTGTTTAAAAAGTTGTGAGATTCATAAAACATGTGATTAATATTGATTGTTTGACTTTAATTTTGATTAAAATCAAATTTTAATCAGAAGCAAACATGGTCTATATATGTGCTAATTAAATTCATGTTTGGCTCAAATTTTTTAAAATTTATTTTTTAACGAATTCATTTTTAACTATGAGGGTGTCTGGTGGAAATTTAAATTAAATTTCTAGTAGATTGTGATAGAAATTTTTGAAATGTGTGTTTGAAAAGTTGTAAGATCCATAAAAGATGTAATTAAAATCAGATTTTAATCCAAAACAAACAGGCAGTCTTGGATTATTTTTCAACACACGATATTTGTTCTAGCTCGAGTTTGATTTTGACTTAAATTAAAATCATATTTTAATCCAAAACAAACAGGCTGTCTTGGATTATTTTTCAACGCACGATATTTGTTCTAGCTCAAGTTTTCTAAAAGATGATAAGTTGNTGAAATTAATATATTTTGTGCATCCAACGATAGAGAGTGGGGTGACAAGGATCAACGATGCTGCATGATGAGGGACCCTTGAGTGACTGCTTGGTGATGCAGCCAAACTTTTACTTGTTTTAATAAAACAAAAGTAGGGGTCATTTTCAAAGCTAATTATTGAGGATCGATGAGATTGCTTCATGATTCCCTATTCTCCCATTCTTTCCACCAAAATTAGTCTTTCTTTCTTGTATAAAAAGGGTTAAATGTCAAAAAATCAAGTAGTAAACTTTGTTCATCTACAATTATTAGTAACTTCTTAGAAGCAATAGTAGTGGTTTATATGGATAATAAATGAATTGTAGTTACGAATGCATAATTGAATAAAAAATGAAACAATAGTGATTTTTTAGGAAATATGAACAAATAAAAGAGGGAAAACCCTAAAAGAGAGTAGGGTTTTATTTGTAGTGATATAATTGTTTAATTTCCTAGCAATGTAACTCTGATTAATGCCATTTAGTCCCTATTTGAGTCACATTATAATAGAAAACAACGTTTTGTGCCGGTGAATTTTACAGAATTAAAATCACTCCACGCTATTAAATACCCAACTAAACTGTAGCACGTGCATCGCACGTGCGTACACTAGTCATACAAAAATTGGGACATAGATGCGGCAATTAATTAGTTCATACATTCACTAGTACAATTTTAATTTTGTGCAAGAATTTTACCCATTTGATACTACATAAAAGTTAGTGAGCTCGTGCGAGAATATAATAAAGTGGGTATAAGCTCCTGTTTGGTACATATTAAAATTTTCATTTTCATTCTTCTACTCATTTTCAATCAAACGTTTTTCAATAAAATAATATTTTTCATCACATCAATAACTTTTTCTTCTTTTTCAACTACATATTCTCAATCACATCACTTCAAAAAAATGCATTCTCTCATTTTAATATGCACCAAACACACCTAATCATCAGCTGTCTAGATAGATAAATATTTAAAATTAGAGAAGGTCCATATATATTTTATATTTATTTAAATATTGTTTTCCAAACATCCCTTCACATATACACGTTGTTTATCCTTTTATCAAAAGCCCGACTCTCAATATATTGATATATAGAAGGTATAAGATTTGACCTCAAAATTTTCCAAACTTTGATACCGCATTAAGTACTCTATCTAAAAACTTAAATTATTATAAACAAACACTATATAATCGTTTAAATCTTAACTTCCACAAAATATACGATTATTTACATCATTTCTCGTCACTAAGCGTAAATGTAAACGCATTGAATATCTTATCCAGTGCTATTTCCTCATATCCACCGGAAAGAAAGATCAAACCTGGCATGCAAGCGACGGAAGAGAATTGTAAATGGACAGCAATATATATGTGAAGATGACACACTATGAAAAACTGGTCCATTTATCTTCTATTTCTTATTTGGAATTTCCTAAACGCTACACGTGAATACACTCACTTTTCTTGCCCTACACAATTTTGTTCTCCGTCAATTTGCCTCATACCCCACCTCGAAAATAGACTACACGAACCATTATATGTATTATCTGCAACCACACGAGAACGAATAGCCAGGGTGTATTTTTCCATTTCAAAGATAATGCTTAAATAATTTGCATAAGATATTTAGCTCATGTTTGATATAGCAAAAAATACTGATAAAAATTTAAGTTAAAGTCAAAAATTAATTTTAACAGACATTATGCCCCTATCTGTTATAGATTAAAATCAGATTTTTAGTAAATTTTGATAAAAGTTGATGGAATGTGTGGTTGAAAAGTTGTGAGTCTCATGAAATGTGTGGTTAAAATTAATTGTTGACTTTGAAATTTGTACCAAACGGGGCTATATTAGACTCGCAGCTTTTATCACCCATTTAATGATATATTTCATCATTTTTTTATCAAAATTTACTAAAAATCTGATTTTTAACAAAATCATACAGAGGCCTATCGAACCCAAGAAATCAAGCTAGCCTACAATATAAGCCCTTGTTTGACACCCATTATGTTTGAAAAATAATTTATGGAATAGTGATTGATGGAAGATTGTGTGGTTCAAAAGTAAGGAGAATTTTTGAGTTTATGTGTAATATTAAGAATGTATGGTTGAAATGAAGAAAGAGAAATAGAATGAAAAAAAAAAAAACGGTGACAAACAGGGCCTAAGAAGAAAAAATTAGTTTGCAAGTGAAGCATATGATAAAAAGAATATCCTAAAGCCATCAGAGGGAGAGAGAGAGAGAGAGAGAGAGAGAGATTGTTGAAAAATTAAGTACAAAAAACAAAAACCTTTGATTGCTTTAAATTTGCATAGATCCAATTCACGAAGGTTTGAGTTTTCTTTAATTATTTTCTGTTTTGTGAAGAAATATATGTGGTAGGAAAATTAAAATTACATTATCATTAAAATCCAAAATTATGGTAAATAATTTGATATTTAATTAAAACAGACAACGTGACCACAAATTTGTCTATTATATTTCCAACCGCATAAGTCAAAACAAACGTTAAAATTATGTCACGTAGGAGTGATTAGAATAATTAAGAGTTTTAGAAATTAAAGTAACCTCATTAGCCACCAAAAATTGAAAAGACATTTGTTACATCATTAAGAATAGTTAACAATTTTATAAACAGAAAAAGCAGACACTCTGGAAGCTAGTTGAAATTAACAGGAACAAGAATCCAGATTCATCCTCAATTTCAAAATACTTGGTATAATAGTATAGTTTAATGTTGAAATCGACTAATCCATGTTTATTCTTTCTTCACCAATTAATTTAGTTCCCTTTATTGTTTGTATTTCTAGCATAGTTTTCTCAACTTATTTATGCAATTAATTTTAATTCATGATGTTGAGAATGGTTGTGAATTTTTTATATTGAAACAGAAAGGTAAGAGACCATTCTCTTTACTATTTTCAAGTCGTTTTCTGTTTTCAATTTTTCAAAACAGTGAAAACGCGTTCTCTTTCCTACGCGTTTTTGAAAATAAGTTAAAAATTTACAAAGAAAACCTTGTCATTTTGGATATTTTCAGTTATATTCAAGCCAAAATTTTCAAAATGCATTTTGGGTGTTTTCAAAATACCAAAACAAACACATTTTCAACAATCTCAAAATTGACACTCAAAACACAAAATCCAAAATGAATTCAAAACCCAAAACACAAAGAGAACCAAGCGTTTTGAAAACAAATGTTCAAAAAAAAAAAAAATTGCGACCTTTTGTGATGTTAATTACACGAATCTTGGTTCTGTAATAGTTATTTTGTGACGGCTAAGACATCAAACGTCACTTTCCATCATAGAAGGATTTTAAATATTTTAAATTATAAAGTTTCATGACAGTCGTAATGCCCTTTATAATGATTGTTGCTTGTTACAAATTATATGGATGACTTATCGTGACAATGTTTAGACGTTGCAAAAGTCCATAACTAGTGTCGACACGATTCATTGTTTCCCCAAATATTTGACATGAAGAAGATTTACAAATAAGTAGGAGTGAAGCTCAAATGCACAATATTTTCTCTTTTATAATACCACATTAAATTTTTCGTTTAAAAGTTTAAATAATTAAAAATTAGAAAACTATTTTATTTGTACTTGCATTATTAACACTCAACCCAAAACTCAAGCTGAAAAGCTGACTCACCTTTTGTCTCTTCTTGTCCTTTGTAAGTGTCTAACTATAAAAAGATACATA